CCCCAAAACCCCAAAACCCCAGTATTCTTACAATAGTCGTAGTGTGGTAATCGAAAATAGTATTAATGAAGATTAAGTGAATCAATTCGAGAAATAAATGGGTTTAACTTGTAATAATTAGCGATTGATATAATTATTCAAATTAAAATACGTTCTATTATACTCATCTGCAATAATTAAAATAATGGATCTATCACACCAAGGATAGGTTAAACGAATAATCATTAACATTAATGACCCCTCCTAGTAGCTATCCATTAATCCTTACGATTGATCTAAGACTCAATAAAATTAAGCTCTAATTACTAAGTAGCTAAACAGGCAGACATCTCCTCCTTTAACAGCATGGAATGAATATTAAACCGAAATAATAAAAAATGTCAATTATGAGTAAAGCAGCAGCAGTAACATCAACGATTTATAACAAATCTCAGGAAGACTTTTGCCTGGTGAATAGAATAGAGGCACCAAAATTAGGTTAAAGCACTAGAAAGTTAACTAGGGTCTTAGCTAGTAGATTGGTGTGCTTATCAGTTAGGAGATAAATCATCATCATATGGAAAAGCGCAAGAAAAATTTGAATAAAAATGCTTAAAATTAAAAGGCTAAGGAAGTCCTTGCCCAGAATATGTCCTAACTCCCTTATATATAGGATAAGAGAAGCCTATCGCAGGTCAGAGCAAACAAATTTAAGTAAAATCAGCAAACTTCGATAAATATTATAACATCACCCTCACCATAGCAGACTAAAAGTATCTTGAATTAAATAAAAATGCAGTAAATTGGAAAATAACCACAAAGAGCTCAAAATTAATAGCAAAATTAGAACCAGTAAACTACACTTCATCACATTCCCTTCTAGAACTAATATGTTTAATAGAATTTGAAGAAACAGTATATCTTGTAGTAATAGGTTATTGCCTAAAACATGCCGACTATTCATTAGACGAATTAAAATCCAAAAAGTATCATCAGATCTCTAAACGCATCTCCTTCTATATAAGACTCTGTTTAGAGTTTATAATAAATGTAAAATAATGCTAATAATAACATCCAAAGTTTTAATTAGAATCAAAGCTAGATAATCATGCATTAATAGTAATAAATCAAGCATGCTCTTAATCCTATATCAAATTTTATGAATCAACAGAGTTTTGGAAGAGATCTGATCAGGAGTTCATAAACCCAAAACAATGGAGAAGTGAATAAGCTATTGGAAGCAGGGGCTGTAATATTGTCACAAAATTAATCTTAGGTTTTGGATCAAAGCCGTGAGAGTAGCAAAGACAGAAGCAATTATAGAAGCAATCAAAGATCTCATTCATAGCTTACACCAACAAGATACAGAGTTAAAGGTTCTCGGGCACTGAATTTTCATCCAATACTGATAAAATCAGCGGAAAAAGAAGCGCCGAATAAATAAGATTATTTGGTATCATAAAACAATAGCAGTAATGTTCATCAGCCAGTACTTCTTTATCAAAAATTACTCCAACATCTAAAAGGAAGTCTAAGTAAATCTAAGAGATTAGAATAGTAAGAGACAATATCTCAAAATTCATTGTTATTCAGTTTTTAGCTGCAGGTGAAATCTAGAAGGGGATCATCGGTTTTTGAAATACCTACCAATATCAATACATCACCATCTATAAGCAAATAAGCTATAACTAAAGCTGATCAGTAAAGTCCAAAATAAAAAGGCTAGGAATTTTACAAGTATAACTAGCTGTATGCTATTTTTAAGGATCATCTTTAAAGTAAGAGCAAAAGACAAAAGCAAATCAGAAATAGTCACGCTGGCCAAACTGGAGATAAGTCTCTTCACAATACTCTAAGTACCAAAAACATTGAAAGGGATATATCAGCTAGCAATCTAAATGAATAGAGCTTTGTAGATAAAATGAGTTAATTAAGAGGTCATAGTCCTTATGAAATCCAGATAAAGTACTTTAAGAATAAACAGCATAAAAATTTTAATCATTAATAGCTATAATATCTGATATAAACTGGTAACTAAAACTATGATTAGCCCTATTTGAATCAAGCCTTAACCCCAAATGATTAAGTTACAAATTTACTACTCGCTTCATAAAACAGGGAAAATTTTGAAATTATTAAAACTCTTTACAAGCAAAGAGAGAACACAAACAAGTCAAGTTTATTTTCAAGATCGTTAAAAATGGGATAAAAAGATAGTAGTGTAGATGACCTGTTAAAAAAGATGAGTGTATTGGAAAATCCTGATGAGGAATTGCAATCTCTACTATATAATCCCCCTAAGAGGACAGCAATTCATAGCTGGAAGTAGGTTAAGCCTAAGGAATTCGTGTTTTCAAATAACAATCACAATCACACCAACGCTAATGCAAATAATAATCATAATAATACAGCAAAAAATAGCGAGAACTGAGTGACCTATCAGGCAGTCAATTAATAATATGAGAGTGATTTGAAATTTTATTTTTGGTATTATATTCTTACATAATAATAAATTTTATAGGTTTTTTTATGATAACTTTACAAATTTTTAAAAATTCTAGTCAAATTTTGTTAAACGGGGTTTTGGGGTTTTGGGGTTTTGGGGTTTTGGGGTTTTGGGG